CTCTCAGTTATTTCTGAATTGTTTACATTTCCATTAGTTTGTTCCTTTATAAAAAATAATAAGTTCTTCTAATATTTGGTTTTTATCGGAAATTTAAATAATTTTCTTTTAGTAAAGGTGATCCAAGTTTCTGCTCATCAAATTTTAATCTCTAACTTTTTGAATTTTATTTAGTTCAGGGATATAAATTTTGTATGCTTTTCTCTTCATGTTACAGCCTATCTTAATTCTTTTTTGAGCTTTTAGATCCATCTTTCTACGTTTTTCTCGTCTTATATGAACATATGCTTCACATCGAAATCTTTTAAGATAAGTAATGTTAGGCTTGCATCCTTTATATAGTTTATATGGTGTAAACCTTTTATCATTTTTGCGACTCCTGTTATTCACATGTACAGCTACTTTAATGCTTTCAGACCAAAATTTTATCGGTAATTCTGCATCAATTAACAGAGTTAGCAGATTCAATTATAGTATGATTAAAATGTTCAGCTTTTCCATTACTTTCCGGAGTATAAAGGGTTGCAAGTTCATGTTTAATTCCCATTTTTCCAAAAAACTCATTTATACTTTTAGCTAAAAACTCACTACCATTATCACTACGAATTCTTTTTAGTTTTTTTCCTGTTTGTCTTTCTTCTTGAATGATAAGTTTGATTAGAGCTTCTGAAGTTTCACTCTTCTCAATTGTTATCACAAATATGAAATTACTGTAATCATCTATCACTGTTAAAAAATAACAGCTTCTATCTGATGATTTCTCAATTGCTCCAACTAAATCTATGTGCCATAATTCTAAAATATCTTCAGATTGCTTAAATTTCACACTTTTATAAGATGTTCGTGTTATTTTTCCTAACGTACAAGGCTCACAATTGTTTTGAGAAATTTTACATTTTCTAATCCAATGACCAATGAGTGGTTTTCATTTCTATCAGCCTCTGTTAATTTATATGACCTAGTCTCTGATGCCATAGTACATCATTAACATAACAAATTTTACCTTCTTCAACAGTATTTCCTTCAACTTCTAATTTACTTCCATTTCTGTTAGCTATATATAGAATGTTTTCTTGTTTATTGATCACTTTTGCTTTATTTTTGGTAAAAATTACTTTTAAATCATGATCTACAATTTTTGATACTGACAGCAAATTTTCACTGAAATTCGGTACTTGCAGAAAATTTTCTACTCTCAAGATGTTTCTATCAGTTTGCATTTTAATGTTACCAATATCAACTGATTTGATTATGGCCTATTTTTCAGCTGTCAATATTTGTTGTTCTTCATCTTTAAAATTAGTAAATATTTCTTTACTAGCTGCCATGTGAAATGTGGCTCCTGAATCAATAATCCATTTAATTTTTCTATTCTCTTGTTCATTTATTTTATTCTTTCCATCATTTCTATCTTGATTAAGATATGAGCTTTCTATTTTCTTAGATACTTCAAATAAGCATGTCGCTGATTCATATTCTCTTTCCTTGCTTGACATTCTATAAGTTTTATTTGTTAAATTTCTCCGCTTTCGATGTTCTTGTTTAGTTTTCATTTTACATTCAGTTGATTTGTGGCAGAATTTCCCACAGCAAAAGCAATTTATACTATTATAATTATTTCGACAATCTTTTATTAAATATCCTAATTTTCCACAATTAAAGCATCTTCTTTCATATTTCAATTTTATCCAGTTTTCTTTACTTACGTATTTCTATTTCTTTTCCTCTTTGTTTATTTTTTCCTTCTGTTTCTTTTAAAGCTTGTCTAATTGAAGCTAGATCTTTCTCTTTATTGCTTTTAATAATTTTAACATCAAATTCAAATTCCTTTCTAAGTCCTTCTAGTATGAAGTAAATTAATTCTTTATCTCTTATTTCATCTCCAACTTGAATACTTTTACATGTCAGAATTACAGCTCTATTCATATAATCATCTACTGATTCATTTTGACTAATTTTCAGTTGAGCCAATTCTATTCTATATTTGATTTGAATATCTTCTGTTTTTGCTGCCATTTCATTTTTTATTTCTCCCATAACTTCTTTGTGTTCTTTTCATTCCCATATTTTAACGCTTGTGGAGCTGTCATAGTTTGATTCTTTATATTTCTTGCTATTGCGTTATTATCATCCCATATTTCTTAAGTTTCTATTACATTAAAATTAACATCATCCTTTTTATATGGTTTTGGTGATTAATCAGCTTCTATCACACTTCTCCATATTTTTAAACTTCTTAATTCACTTTCAATTCTATTGGCCCAAATAAGATAATTATCGTCACTTAATTTTTCTATATGACTCAAATTTATCATATTATATGCCACATTTCCTAATTTATATTCACTAATTATAATACAAGTCTAATTTACCTCTTGGAGAAATTGGCGATTTTGTTAAGCCAAAACAACATCAATGTTCTATCTGGAAAGTTTATTAACCAAGGGCGCAACAACCACGCTCTGCTACCAAATGTTGGTTTTAAGATAGGCATATAAATAACATTCTCAAAAGAATCATCCACTTCTAACAAAAACACATTATGGCAATATACAAAAACAAAACTTTATTAAAGAAAATCAATCATAAGAAATCTTACCACCTTTTGCCAAACCATAGCAAGAAAACTCTCTCAGTTCCAGGTACATTTTTAACTCATTCCTTTTACAATTTAATATCAATGTTGCCAATATATTAAAACTTAAAATTATACTTTATAAACAAACAGTATCACTAATTAGCACTGTAATTGTTAAAGAAAGTATCCTAGCTTTTAGAAAAAGTTCGTTGCATGTAGTGTGAACTGAATTACTTTATCATTTTAAGAATAAGAAGGGTTTGTGTGTTTATTTAATTCAATATGCAAAGCATGCGAGGGCCAGCTGAAAAAGGCATGCTTTTGTGAACATTTTCTAGGATAAGTAGGCTCATATTTACATTCACTTAAGGAAAAGCACAAAAATGCTTACACACAATGGTAAGAGATAAGGAGGCTAGATCCCTTTGTTAAATTTGAGTCTTATTTTCAAGCCCATCGATTCTTTTAGTTTATTTTTTCAAAAAAAAAAAAAAAAAAAAAATTACTCACTGAACTTTGTATGTTAATGTGAATAACCTTTTAACTTGATGACCAATATTTCTCTGACAAGAAGAGGTGCTACAGATTTAATGGCAATATCCTCAAATGAAAAACTTTACAAAAATTTAATCCTAAACCTTAAGTAAAAATTGTTTGAAAAGTCATTGTTCAGCATATATCCTCCAAGATTAACTGATAAGAGAGGAAAAGATAATGTATGGTAGCTTGGGTCACATAATTTTATTTGCTGTTTTATATAATTTCTGTAATATTTTGCAATGCTGTTAGTTTTGTAAACTTAAAATTTTTTTTAAATGCTTTTATGATATTTTCTTGTTTATTAACTTATATTTTCTGTTTTTCTAAGAAGTGAAACAGGTATTTATACACTGATACTTTTTTTTTTTTTCACAATATAAAGTTTGAGCCCTTTGATAAATTAAAATTGCAGCTTAAACAGCCAGCCCATTCACCGAACTTGAAACTGGGACTGAATTATTACGTTATCATTCCGTTCATTTATCTTATCAGATTGAATACAGTGAGCCAGACAAAAAGGGAAATATCTTTTGTAAATATAAAAGCAAAAATAAACATATTTCTAAATAGTAAGATTACTAAGAATATTTATTATTAAGATCCTTATGAAAATTTGGAACATTTATAAAGGTTTGCAAGATGAAAACATGATTGATTTTATTATAAATTGCATGGTTTTTGACTTGTTTTAAGTATGCTCCTGCCAGATTGGTAGATGCCTGGTGATCATTGTCCTGCTTTGAACAAATCTTAACAGATACAAGATATAACATGTGAGTATAGAATCTGAAGGAAAGGTAAGGTTAGATTGGGTTATTTGAATATGGCTAAGCATATTGGTCATCAGCCTGAGGAAGGATGCCTTTATGAAGGACTTTATAGGGAAAACTGGCTTGTATTCACGAAACACATGTGGAAAAATCACAAGAACAAAACAAAAAACTGCACAGCCAGCTCGTTCATCAGGGTTTGAGCCGAGACTGAACTACCAGTATTAAGCCATCTTAGCCACTCGTAGGGCAAATCTAATGAAAATGCTTAAAATAACGTAATCAAAAGTTAACTGAATGTTGTATGGCAAGACTGCTTTCCCAAGTACTGAGATAGGGAACACTTACTCTGTTCTTTTGAAGTGTTTGGTCATGGTATTATTCATTACATGCATTTTCTACAATTCATAGAGAATACTAATATTTCTATTATAAGTATCTTTTTTTTCATTTTTAAGTGCTTTGCTTGTTGATATTCTCAAAATTGTATCTACTAATTAGTGCTATTATGTATATAATAGATATAAATACAACAGATGCATATAATAGATCAGGGATGGCCAAACTTTATGACAGTGAGAACCATTAGATTTCCCTAAGTGCCACAGCTACAAATTTACATCATTTAAAAAGTAGTCAAATAGGTGTTAAATAGCAAGAGATGTCAGATTCCAAACAATCATTCAATGACAGTCTTATTTCGATAAGAGCAATACCCCTGTAATGAATGCATGACTTTTAATCCATTTTACATAAAAAAATTTTAATGTTTTTTCAAATATATTCTCTTGATTTTTTATGAATCATGGTATAGAAAATATGTTACTGATTCAATAATAAATCGCATAAATTAAAGAAATGCGCGCACGGGCCTATTCGAGCCAACGCGCCCGCGTGCTGCCGGGTTAACAACGCTACTGAAGAGAATTTGAGTACAATTGAAGATTATTGGTATTGTCAAATATAATATGAAAAAGACAGGCAGTTGTTTCAACATAAAACACTTTAAGCTGTTTGCAATTGAAAACCCGCACAAAAGCCGTATCTCCAAATAATACTGACAGAAAAATCAACTTTTCGCGAGTACTAAAAAGTTTAAAAACATTACTTACAAAAATTGCACTGTGGGAAAAATATTATCTACTCTTCTTGACTACAAAATTCGCACAACAAACGTAAAGCTGTACCAAAGAATATGTTTATAGGAGGCTTGCAGATATATGCGACGACAAACGCTGAGAGTTTACGGAAGTTAGCGGGTCTCACGTGACCGATGGCAACACTAAGAGGTTACCGTAATTTGCGCCAAAATTGAAAAATGAAGCCAAATGTAATTTTTCGAAGTAAGCAATACAGGTTTTCGCCATTTTGATTGCACGTGCTGCTGTGGTAGCAAGGTACGTAGTATTAGCGCTGATATTTTGTGTTTTAATTATCTTATTTTAGTTATGTGTTTGTCTAAGCAATCTGAAAAAGATGAAAATACTCATAATCGGGTATTCGGTTTAATCCTAGTATCCGGTGCACACGGAATTTGACTACTTTTGGATGAGCAGTGAAAACGGGACATATATGATGAGTAGTTAACGGGTCATTCAAAGAAAATATATAGTTAAACATAGTATATACTATGTGTGTATAGTATATATATATAGAGAGAGAGAGAGAGACGTTCTTTGGGTCATTTTTTGGTGTTGGCGATAATTTTCAAAGTCGCGCCAAGGCTGCACCGTATATTAGGATTTTACCGGGGATTCTATGAGTAAATATTTACAAGAATATTTGTCTGCGAATTTATCTGATTACGAAGTTGATTTTCGTTGCTTTCCAGGAGCTAGGATGGGTTTTCTTCCGGAGAGGATCCGTTGGCGGCGAAGCGTATTTACTCGCCAAGCTCGTCAACGCCTAATCGGCAATGAGTTTAGCGGTGTACAGTTACGTTACAAGATATTTAAAAAGGTTAACCGTAATACAAACCGTAAACTGAAAATCGTTAATAGCAATGAATATTATGTTCCCATAGATCCCCTAACTCCATATTCCCTCTGGCTTGCAGTATGCCATATCCTGTTTGTAATGAAAAACAGCCTGTTAACGAATTTCCGCGAAATGCGTTGATCGTAATTGACTCTTCATTAGCTATTTTGGTGATACATACATGTCTTCTCCATTTAAAACAGAACCAGATCATATTTGCAGATCACAGCAAATAATGAGTCTTTCATGGCAAAGTTATCAATTTGTTGAAAAATAACTTAGTGAAATTCATATCTTTCTTTAAATATGCTTTAAGAATATAAAATTAGAAAATATTCCTGTTTTTAACAGTGCAGTTTCTTGGGAAATTGTCAAAACACAAGAAAAACAAAAAGGCACTTTTACTACTTGTACCTTCATTACATAATTTCAAAATGCTTTCCAAAGTATGAGTGAAAATAAATTCTCATCACATAAATGAAATAAACAATGTTTTCATTGAAATATAAACTATTGCAACTGTTTGACTAGGTAAAAAATAAAGTTTGTATAGGAATAAATTATATTCTGCTCTGACTTACTTATGCATGCATAAATAAGTGTGTGCTTATGTGTGCATGTGTCATAAAATAAAAACTAACATATCCACTATTTTTATTAACAATCATGCTAACCTCAGAAACAGTAAGGGCAGAATTTAACTTTTTTGCATGTAACTCTAACAAGCATACTATGATTCATTACTTTCCAACTGATGTTCTGTGACTGAATTCTGGTAGTTTGATTTAGGTCCTAATCTAAAAAAAGACAGCTAATTGCATGGGTGTTTTCACGGTGCTTCAATATGTTACAGGAATGCAAAGCCAAAAATCCCTTATAAAGTTCTCCTCAAAGGCACACCTTCTCTTACGCAGATATTTTTTGCATGCTTTGACATAACTAATACACAAACCAAACGGATACATGCCACCAGCAATTTTAAACTCAAAATATTCCTTAACTAACCCTCAAACCCTAACCTGATTTCGGTTATTGTTATTGGAGAGCTATGCTGAGTGATCAAGTGAATAAGAAAAAAATTTCATTGAAAAATCATGTAGGAATAGTTTGTATAAATTATCAAGTGTGATATTGCATATATTTATTATATGATTACTTAACTTTTTTGTTATTAATTATTTTTTTTTTTCTTATTACGTGCTCCGCCCTTAGGCGCACTCCACGGAAAGGGAGGGATGCCCCTGTAGAGGTCTTTTTAAGGGAAACTGGCTCGTATCCATGTTACACATGGGGGAAATCACGGAAAACGCGCATGCAGCCAGCCCGTTCGCTGGGACTTGAACCCAGGATCGAACTACCAGTGTTCAGCAGCTTTTACCGCTCGGCCGCTGGTGGGCTCATTAATTATTATTAATAATATATTTAGGCACAGTATTTCTTTTAAATTCATCTTCTGATTTTAAATCTATTTTGAATTTTCAAATCATAATTTTATCAAATAAGTTACTGAAAATGTAGTCACAATCTCACTCTATCAAATCCGAAAGTTGAGTTCAAGGATGGACAAACTATGGCCAGTGAACAGCTACCTGTTTAAAGCTTCTATATAGATATATATTATTCTATTCAGCAAATTATCAAAATATATTTAGGATTTTACTATGCAATACATAATGTATATTGTAAATATATATTCATTTTTGTTTTGGCTATACAATGTATACTGTATTTGTATAAATAAAACGTAAAGGAATATCACGTGATTTGCGCATAACATGAGTTCACATAGATATCTGTTATCTCACTTCATCGACATGTATACTGTGCTCATCGACTTTGTTACATCATGAACACAGATAAGTATAACAAGATTTAGATCTCCCACTGAAAAAATTCCCCAGAAAGCGAGAATTACTGATAATGTAACGAAATGAAGAAAGGTAATCTTTTTTTTTTTTTGAATGTGGAAATTTTAACTATTTTCAAGTGGTCTGTTTAAATTTCCATTGAACATTAAACCTGTGCTTGATGTAACCATGAGGCTTGGGAATAGTATTCAATCTTGTTGATGTACCCACAGGGAATTACGAGATTTACTTAAGCCCTTAAAATCTGAATACTTGCATGTGCTGTATTACACAAAACAAAAGTAAGATGGCTTAGTGCAAGATGTGTTTTCGAGAAAGTTTGGCAACTGATTGAAATTGTGCCATTCTTCAATGAGAAACATTGTTCTGTAAAGTGTGAAATTTTAAAATATATAGCATCAATTAATTTAGAAAGCAATCACAAAAAATCAGAGTCATATTTGCAAATTTTCACAGGACTAGTAAGTGATTAGTCACAGGATTTAATTTATATTGATACAGCATGGTTTTCAACTTAGCATTTTTCACATTTCTTTGTCATATGAACAATTTAAATGTCAAAATGCAATAGTTATGAAGATAGCCTGAAAAAGAAACCTGCATTTTGAGTTTAAACACAGATTTCAATGCAATTCAAATGTAACTAGAAATTTTCAGCATGCCTTGCAATATAAACTATGAAGCCGTGAGACCACATTTGCAACTTGAAGTAATTTAGTTACAGTCTAACAATCACTTGAAGCAGTTGTTTCTCAGTGTTCCAAAATTACAGTTGTTCAAATCATTATATAACTACATATACATGGGAATAACAAAAAGTAGTAAAATTTATCACAGATCTGCACACGTTGGTTGACTCTTTTCTTTTGACGATATTCTTAGCATATGCTAAGAACATGATGCTGTTACAAAATGCTGGTTATCAAAATTAATCTCCAAAATAGATAACTTATTTATTTTGATAATTTCAAAATATTTTTCTATTCAACTACATAGAGATAATCAAATGAAGAAAATTCCCAAAGCCTGTGGAAACTATCCAACATTACAAAAAAAATCATAAAACAACAGTCTCCTATTCAACTTATATAAACAAAGTAATTGTTCAACTTTACACAATCCTAAACAAGTCTTTTAACTGAAGACTAACTTTATATCTCTGGTCAGTGCAAAGTTTTGTAAATGCGTATATTACAAATATTTTCAATAACACATTAAAAACACTTAAAAATAAATAGCAATGTCTCCGTAAAATAATGAAACAAACATGAATGCCAAAGTGAAGACTAGATGTCATGCCATAGTCATTTGAAATAAATTGTATTGACACACATTTCACTTTGGAAAGAAGAAAGTCCATCTCTAAAAAGATGTTTGGAAACTTATAAGAAATGATCAGCAAATTTACCTTAAAATGGACGTAAATCAATGCTGTATACATTACTGCATTTTAGAATATCCAAAATGAGAATGAAAAAAGCAATATTTTCATTGATTTTTAGGAAATAGCATATGCTGTTGACAAATTCATATGTAAACTAGGATAATTCTAGTTCCAGGATATCGCTGAAATTATTTCTCCTTAAAACAGATGTGGGAAAAAACCAGCACTTGCAGCATTCTAGACCTTTCATCAGGCCTGATGAAATTAAACGCAGCAACATCATTTTCTTCTGAATGATGCATTCAGGTGTATGAGAAAGGCAGATGAAACACTTCTCAGAATGTTGTATCATAAATGAGTCGTAAATGCTTTGCTTATATTATGCCAAGCAGTAATAGCTTTAGGGGCCATGACAGTGTGATGGCCCAAGATACTGAGTACTGAAGATTCAAACTAGGGTCAAACTACCAGTATCCAGCAACTGTATTGCTGAACTGCTTGTGAACTTGAACAAAAGTATGAATATCTTGTTAGTGAAACCCATAACGTAAGAAAAACGGCACACTTGATAAAATGTTCAAGATTAATGGTCGATTTTGTTATGAATCCCATGGTTCTGACATGTTTTAAATATACTCCTTCCACATGGATAGAAGCTGAATGATCACTGTCCTGCTTACTACAGATATAACCTTTCAATGTATAATCTGAAGGAAAGTTTAGGTTATTTGAATATGGCAAAGCATACCAGCTGTTAACCTGAAGAAGGATGCCTTTATGAACATTCTAAGGGAAACTGGCTTGTATTTGCATTACATATGAGGAAAACTAGAAAAATCAACCATGCAGCCAGCCCTTTAACCATGATATGAACACAGATCAAACTACCAGTATTCAATGGTCTTAAGCACTAGTAGGAAAAATCTAAAAAAATGCTTGCAATATCATGCAATCAGAAATTCACTAAATGTTGCACAGCAGGATTACTTTTTCAAGTGTCGAGGATGAGAATACTTAATTTTGTTTTG